ACCATTATTCTGTTGCCCCATTACTTGCATTGAACCCTAGTGAGAGTGACCTTCACCCACTTACATACGCCATATACACATTTGAGGATTCATGTTAGGACATTAGGATACTACAACAGAAAATATCAAGCAGTATGCTACAGACCTAAACAGTTCAGGTGTATGTTTGTTCCTTGCCATTTTGATGTTGAGCATAGGATGTTGAATAAGATCCTCCACTACAATGTATATCCAAAGGACTCGGAGAAGAAGCTTGGGATGGGTAAGATTGTTCTTTTATCTAAGATCATGGTAGGGTCGAGAATTGACATAGCCCTGATGATTTGGGGAGTGTTAAGAGACTACTATATGACAAAAAAATTGAAGGGCAACTTGCCCTTTGGTAATATGGCTACCAAGTTCTGTCTAGGAGCTAGGGTGAAGAAGCTAGCATCTAACAAACTTCTACCTCTTGATCTTGGACCTATCAGTAGCTGGGGTGAGAGGAAGAGCTCCACTATGTCCAAGGTTGGTGGTTCTTTGAGCATGGGTAAGACTACTACTTCTACTTTTACTGCCACTAATATTGTTCCTACCTCTTGAGCTATTGTACATTAGAGAGTGAGAGTTGAAGGAAAGGTTAGGAGGCATTAAGATTGATATGAGGGTAGTGAGGCAATCTCATGATAGGATGTAGACGAAGGTGGACATTTGCATAAGGATTTTGAGGAGACTTTTTTTGGGCTTTCCCAAAAGAGACATTTCTAGGCATGACTCCTGCACCTACTTCTGCACCTCCTACTCTTGGGACAAGATCATCACCGATTTTTGTGACACCTCTCAATGTTGCTATGGAGAGAAGTAGTGGAAAGTACACTACAAATGAGGAAGAGGATGGAGATGATGATGGGAATGTTGATGAGGAGGATGGTTCAGATTCTAAGTGATTTTACTTTAGGACTCTACTTTTATGTTTTTATTTTGATTGTTCTTGTTTTCATGTAGTAATTAGGTTTTAGTCCGATTGTTCCTTTTTGGGTAATAATAGCCTAGTAGAATCACCTTAGGTGTAGCAAGGCTATTACACTTTGATTTTTGTACCCAAAAGCACAACACGTATATATACCAAGTCTTTTTTATTCCAGATGTATGCCTTAATTTCTTAGACCATATGCATTTCAATTTATGATGCTTGTTATGTTATGGACTATGCTTTGAAATTTATAAGTGTTAGGTTAGGATTTTTAATTTTGTTTATATTTAGTTTGTTAAGGGACTAGTAAAGCCTAAGTTAGGGGTGTGATGAGAGTATAATATTGCATATTTCATGTCTCATATCATTCATCTTAGCTCTATCATTTGTCTATTTGCTTTGTTTTACTTTAGTTTTGTATTTTATAAAGAATATTCTTGTTTGTAGGTAAATTAATGTAAGAACAAGGTTTTACATACATTTTTGATAATTTGGAAGACTTTGGCAAGGAGTTAGAGAAGCTAGGAGTTGAGCAAGAGCATTGCAATAAGAATTGGGAAAAAGACTAGTTCTACCTATAGGTTTGCTACCGGTTCATCAAGCGGCAGATTGTGGTTCTACCAATAACATTGAATACCTACCGGTAGAAGTAAAATAGAAACTTTACTACTAGTAGGTTTAAAATAGAGAGTAGTTTAACCAGTAGATGTTAAGAGCTACCAGTCGTATGAAACAATAACTTTGCTACCGGTAAGTCGGGACTTGCTTCCAACCAGTTCATCAATGTTTTAATTCAGTAAGATCTCCTTTTAAAAAGAATCGGCTGGGCCTTTCTAAGCAGCCTATTGGTGGAAAAATTAAAAGGAAAAGTTAGCCAATGTCTCCTATAAATACCAGGGCAAAGCAAGGGAGGAAATAATCAATTGATCTCGATCATTCATTATTTTATTTTTCCTTTAGCCATTTCTTCTACTAGAATTAGGGTTTACTCATTCTTCAAGAGTTCTTCCATTATTTTATTTTCCAAGTTTTGTTCTACTTTTAGTTGTTTAATTTATTGCAAGGCGAGTACGTTGATTCTCTTTTATGTAATGATTTAAAATTCTTTGCATTTAATTCAAGGTATTTACTTTCTATTGCGATTTCAATTTAAGTTCTATTTCTCTTACGATTATGTTGATGTTTATTTCAATTACTATTGTTTTTACTTCCGTAATGAGTGAGTAGTCGTCTGATCTGATGAGGGAGTTTCATCCGTGAATGGAGATTCTGAGCTAAGTAGGGTTTTTCCAAAGATTAAGTTATTTTATTGATTAAAAAATTAAAGTTAAAAACACGAGTGATATGTATATCTTTTTACTTATCCATAGACAATGAGGTTTGACACGAATAATTCTTAGAATCACTGCAATCAACGTAAATGTAATTCTTTCAAAATTAAGTCAATCAATTTGAATACACTTTTGTCACTTTTATTGACTTTAGTTGAATATTTTTTACTTGAGTGCGTTTGAATACAATCTTGAGTGATTTATAGGATTAGTTCAAAATTACTATTCAAGGTGGGATGAGCACTGACGTTGGTTTTCTTTAATTATTGTTATTTAGTTTACCCTTTTTTGAAAACCCTTTTTCCAAAATTCAAGAGTTTTACTTTTTTTTGTCTATCACTGGTCAAGTTTAATTTTTGTTTTCCCTGAGGAAAACGACCTTGGTAATCAATCAAGTTACTAAACGATACACTTCGTGCACTTGAGAAACTATTTATATTATTTAACCCACTTTAGAGGACAAGCACATTGCTCTAACATTCTTTCATGAAATAATGTCAAGGTTGTTACATTTAAATGATGTTCTTCATTTCAAAAATATATGCGAGCATCTTTTGCCTATGATTGTGTAATTTCTCTCCTCAATATGAAACAGTCACTATAATCAGATGTTTATGTTATGTGAGTGCAACCCTGGTAAAATCTACATTAAAACTAACATTCGATAGCTAATAAAGATATGGATATTATTTGATAAATTTCTTAAATTTTATAATCATATCTCACACACACAAAAGTTCTAATGTTAATGTAAATGTGAATGTGAATACTCTTACATAGAAATTAAGTCTATAGCATAGCTTTGTGCGACTTAATTTGAGTGGATGTGGTATATTTTAAATTTTATTTTAATAAGGGGATAATAATTTGTTTTGGATAGAGAAAATAAAATTTAAAAACCTTCACGAGACAAAACTCGTCCACTAGAGGTAACTTAGGGGTTTAACGACTTACTGCATACACTAAATACAATCGTGATCACCTATGAAAGTGATTTTTTAATTTAAATTTATTTGTTTGCATTTGATTGTTTTGTTATTCTTTAAATTTCCTTGCATAGTATATATTGCCTATTTGAATTACATTTGTTTTGCAGACACTTTGAAAAATCTAGGGATATATGGAATATGATTTAAGGCCTTAGTGTTTTAAGTTCAATAAGGTGTTGAGTTTGGGGTCATAGTTAAGTATTCCTAGGACTTAGTGTGTTAGTCTTGATTTTTAAACAAAGAAAATAGAAAAAAAAATTCCAACAAATAGAAAAACAAATTTCCAACTGTGAACGAATGAATCGGTTCATCTGTGATCTGGGGCCGAAAATTAGGATTTAAAAGGGAATTTAGACGGTCATTTTACTCCTTCCATTTCAAAACGAGTAATGTTACATACACTTAAAAATTAGACTTGATAATATTAATTATTGAATAGGTAGTGGGTCTCAATAAATGCTGGGACTCACAGTGAGATCAATGGTTGAAATTATCAAGTATAATTTTTAAATCTATATACCATTGCTCGGTATGAATTTTTCTCACTTCCCTCTCCACCTTGGGAGTGGTATTGATGGGTATAGCGAAGACTAGAGGCAAGTCAGCCGCGCGCGACAAGGAAAAGGAAGGGTCGTGCAGCTGAGCCAAGGCAACCAGAGCCACAAAAGAGACATAAAATAGACTATTAGGTGACTATTACTGTGAAGGGGGTCATGCATGAGAGAAGGGTTGACCAGAAAAGCTTGGGTACAATCAGGCCAGTTAGACAAATTATGGGGCGAGGACTTGAATTTTTCTTCTCACCGGTGAATGGGTACATTCTTGCACTTTGTCATGAATCTTATAGTGGTTTGAGTCTTGTTCATTGTGATTTGATTATACTGGACTACGGTCTGAGGTCGTGTTATCGAGGTTACCCCTCGGTAGCATAACTGCTTATATGGGGTACGTGAGACCTAACTCTTCTGCGATTGATTACCCACACCCAGACTTTGATGCTAAGGGTCCTGCTGAGTATGCCCAGGTTATGTATGAGGAACCCGAATGGTTTAATTCTACATTATACATGTGTATCCGAGGGTGGTTTGGATGCGGAGCACAGACTAACGTGTATCCGAGTTGGTCTGAGAAGACGCCTGGGTTACGCAAGATCATTTTATTGCATGAATTCATGGCTGGGTCTAGGATTGACATTGCACAGATGATATGGGGAGTGATTAGAGAGTATGCGACTACTTCTAAGCCAAAAGGAAACATGCCTTTTGGACACATGGTGATAGAGTTATGCATCAAGGCTGGCATGCGACAGGTACAGACAGATCAGTTATGCCCACGAGAGTGGGCCCATTAGTAGTTAGGGAAGAGGAAAAGCTCCACCATGTCGAGAGTAACTAGAATAGGTGGATCCTCGAGTCAAACTGCACCTACTTCATCTACTGCTGCCCATTCTCCCCCAACCTCTAGAGCTACAGTTCAACAGCGTGTTTCAAGGTTAGAGGAAAGGATTGGGGGTATGGAGAACGATATTTTTGTGGTGAAGTGTTCACAGGATAGGTTTGAAAAGGAAGGTGGATATGATCCTAAGGATGCTGCGCAAACTATGAGTTTTTTATTCCATGAGAGACATTCCCAAGAGTTACTCCACTTCCTATTTCAGATGCCACCACTTTAGGGCAGACAGTATCACCACCTGTGTCAGTTCCATCTACTACTGTCGTTGCACAGCCCATGGATTCAATTAAGGATAGTGGGGATAGAGGTAGTAATGGCGAGTATGAAACTGAGACTGGGTCGGAGACAGAGGAGGAGAATGCCTCAGACGCTTTGGGTTGACAACTGGATTTAGTAGTTTACTTTGGTTTTAGTGTTTTTAGGAAGGTATTTAGACTTTGTAATAATGTTAGGTAGTTGTCTAATTGGGTCAGTGATAGCCGAGGTAGAAGAACCTTCAGTTTTTTGTTTGAGGTTGTTAGATTTTGGCTTCTTAACATTTGTACCCAAAGGAAACTTTTATCTAAGTCATTTCTGATTTCATTATGTGCCCATGAGATTTCTTTAAGCATAGTCATTGTAACTTATGCTCACTGTTATGTTAGATTGATTGAGCTTTGGAATTTAAGGTGTAATGTAAGGNGAATTTTTCTCACTTCCCTCTCCACCTTGGGAGTGGTATTGATGGGTATAGCGAAGACTAGAGGCAAGTCAGCCGCGCGCGACAAGGAAAAGGAAGGGTCGTGCAGCTGAGCCAAGGCAACCAGAGCCACAAAAGAGACATAAAATAGACTATTAGGTGACTATTACTGTGAAGGGGGTCATGCATGAGAGAAGGGTTGACCAGAAAAGCTTGGGTACAATCAGGCCAGTTAGACAAATTATGGGGCGAGGACTTGAATTTTTCTTCTCACCGGTGAATGGGTACATTCTTGCACTTTGTCATGAATCTTATAGTGGTTTGAGTCTTGTTCATTGTGATTTGATTATACTGGACTACGGTCTGAGGTCGTGTTATCGAGGTTACCCCTCGGTAGCATAACTGCTTATATGGGGTACGTGAGACCTAACTCTTCTGCGATTGATTACCCACACCCAGACTTTGATGCTAAGGGTCCTGCTGAGTATGCCCAGGTTATGTATGAGGAACCCGAATGGTTTAATTCTACATTATACATGTGTATCCGAGGGTGGTTTGGATGCGGAGCACAGACTAACGTGTATCCGAGTTGGTCTGAGAAGACGCCTGGGTTACGCAAGATCATTTTATTGCATGAATTCATGGCTGGGTCTAGGATTGACATTGCACAGATGATATGGGGAGTGATTAGAGAGTATGCGACTACTTCTAAGCCAAAAGGAAACATGCCTTTTGGACACATGGTGATAGAGTTATGCATCAAGGCTGGCATGCGACAGGTACAGACAGATCAGTTATGCCCACGAGAGTGGGCCCATTAGTAGTTAGGGAAGAGGAAAAGCTCCACCATGTCGAGAGTAACTAGAATAGGTGGATCCTCGAGTCAAACTGCACCTACTTCATCTACTGCTGCCCATTCTCCCCCAACCTCTAGAGCTACAGTTCAACAGCGTGTTTCAAGGTTAGAGGAAAGGATTGGGGGTATGGAGAACGATATTTTTGTGGTGAAGTGTTCACAGGATAGGTTTGAAAAGGAAGGTGGATATGATCCTAAGGATGCTGCGCAAACTATGAGTTTTTTATTCCATGAGAGACATTCCCAAGAGTTACTCCACTTCCTATTTCAGATGCCACCACTTTAGGGCAGACAGTATCACCACCTGTGTCAGTTCCATCTACTACTGTCGTTGCACAGCCCATGGATTCAATTAAGGATAGTGGGGATAGAGGTAGTAATGGCGAGTATGAAACTGAGACTGGGTCGGAGACAGAGGAGGAGAATGCCTCAGACGCTTTGGGTTGACAACTGGATTTAGTAGTTTACTTTGGTTTTAGTGTTTTTAGGAAGGTATTTAGACTTTGTAATAATGTTAGGTAGTTGTCTAATTGGGTCAGTGATAGCCGAGGTAGAAGAACCTTCAGTTTTTTGTTTGAGGTTGTTAGATTTTGGCTTCTTAACATTTGTACCCAAAGGAAACTTTTATCTAAGTCATTTCTGATTTCATTATGTGCCCATGAGATTTCTTTAAGCATAGTCATTGTAACTTATGCTCACTGTTATGTTAGATTGATTGAGCTTTGGAATTTAAGGTGTAATGTAAGGATTTTTATTTGTGTTATATGCTTGCTAGGGACTAAAAAAACTCAAGTTGGGGGGGGCGGGGGGGCGGGGAGTTGTTGAGTAAAATGTTTTGCATAATCTTGTGTCTTAAACTAACCGTCCTAGCTTTGCTTGTTAGTTATATATGTCATTTTAGCCGAGTTTATGTTTTTATCAGTAAATTGTGAGTTTGCAAGTAATTAGGTGTAAGGAGTGCTTTAAACTCATTTGGATGAATTGTAAAGCTTTGAAAAGTTGCAGAGATAAGCGAACTTGAACCAGGAGCATCGTTGGAAAAAGGTAGAAAAACAACAATTGTATCGGTTCACCAGGTAGCAAACAGAGATTATACTAATGTTGTACTAGTTCATCACTAAACAGAAATCACTTACAATGGTTCATCTGAAGTCGAAGCAAACATTCTACCGATTCATCTTTGCTTTTACTGGTTCATCATGGACAGAGAGGACTTCTACTGGTTCATTCTTCCTTTTGTACTAATACAAGAAAGTCAAACACAACAAAGACTCCTGTTTGGAAATTTCAATCGAGTGAATATTGAGGGATGCTATCCAAGATTCTCATTAGAGAGGAGAGAGAAGTAAAAGAGAAGGAGAGCATTTCTATAACCGCTCGTTTATTCCTATTAAAAACCGAAAATAGAGAGGATCCTATGATATCCTCTAGAGCGTATTTTTTACCTAGGGCATATTCTTTTTCTTTAGCAACATCATCTTTGCTTTTTTTCTTTTTCTTTAGCCGAAAAATTGAATACTTTTATGATTCTTATTTTTGTGATAATTTTAGTTCTTGTTTAAATACAAAGTATTGGATTGCATTCATTTTCAATATCAGTTTCATTTTCTATTCAATTGATATGTCTCTCATAATTAATTTCAATTTAAGACACGGTATATGTGCATAGTTTAGTTCCGGTGTATTGGAGGGGTTATCATCCATGAGTGGGTGATTTTGACTATAAAAGGGTATTAATGTTTCATGTTGTTTTGTCAATTTAAAATAAATACGGTTGAACACATGGTGATTTGTAAACATTCTTGATTAACCGTTGACAATTGAATTTAGTACTAGTAATTCTTGTAGTCCCTACAATCAACATGATACCAATTCTTTCATTAAATTAGTTTTATCATCAAAACACATATTTTCATCTATAGAGGTGTCCATGGGTTGGGTCGAGTTAAGCTTGCAAAATTTTTTTTAGGTTAGATCTGCGTAGTGTAGGTCCAAAACCTTACCCATGTGAGTTATCGGGCGGGTCGGAGCGGGCTTCGGGTAGGAGTAGACTACTTGCAGCCCAACCAGTGAGCCTATTGGGCGGGTCTGCTCATGGGTTTTTTTATATACAACTTTATTTAAAAATAGTAAATATTTTTGTAATTTAATATTTGTATAAATTATATTTTTAAATCAAAAGTAGAGTCAAAATGGATAAAAATAAAATAATTAATAATTTTATTTTTGATTAAGGGTTGAACTACATCTAATATAATGAATACATCTCAACTAGATTGACACTTACTCACTTATCTATCATTTGCATTACTCTACCCTTTAAAACATGTATGCTTAATACATTGAAAAGAAAATAATATATTATTTATAGTATCTAAATTTTTAAAATCTCAAATTGCGACATTGAGATACTTATTTCAAAATTTTAAATTTAATGGTCTAAAAGTATAACTTTTTTTCACATGAAGGTTGGGCAAGTAATGAATTTTTTTTTGAGCGGGCTATTGGGCCGAGCTCAGGCTGGGTAATGGATTGGAGACAAATTCAAGCCCTTTTTTTAAATATATTGGACTCGGTCTCAGACAGGCCAATTATGGAGCCTATTTTTTTTGGGCANTGCTCATGGGTTTTTTTATATACAACTTTATTTAAAAATAGTAAATATTTTTGTAATTTAATATTTGTATAAATTATATTTTTAAATCAAAAGTAGAGTCAAAATGGATAAAAATAAAATAATTAATAATTTTATTTTTGATTAAGGGTTGAACTACATCTAATATAATGAATACATCTCAACTAGATTGACACTTACTCACTTATCTATCATTTGCATTACTCTACCCTTTAAAACATGTATGCTTAATACATTGAAAAGAAAATAATATATTATTTATAGTATCTAAATTTTTAAAATCTCAAATTGCGACATTGAGATACTTATTTCAAAATTTTAAATTTAATGGTCTAAAAGTATAACTTTTTTTCACATGAAGGTTGGGCAAGTAATGAATTTTTTTTTGAGCGGGCTATTGGGCCGAGCTCAGGCTGGGTAATGGATTGGAGACAAACTCAAGCCCTTTTTTTAAATATATTGGACTCGGTCTCAGACAGGCCAATTATGGAGCCTATTTTTTTTGGGCGAAGTAACGAGACCCGTGGATAACCCAGCTCATGAACACCCCTATTCATCTAGATGGGTTTGATTACGATCTTGGATGAGTTATAAATTGGGTCAAAATTCTTATTCATGATGGGATGAAATTCGAAGATTATCTGGTTTGTTTTAATAGTATTTTTAGAATTTGTCAACCATCATCATCATTTTTGAAAACCAAAAGATTTTTATTTTTAGTATATATCATACCACCTTTTAGAATTTGTCCTTGTTTCCTGTGGAGAACAACCTCGGTATTTTTCGAGTTATTACATGATAGAATTTCCTATGCTTGGGATGCAATTTTAAACACAATCATATTAAAGGACAAGCAACTACCGATAAAAGGTCCCTCGATCAATCCAATAACTCTACAAAGCTAGCCTCTCTTTTACTTAATTTATTTCTTCACAAATTTCCTTTAACTTGTGACTCATCACTCCGATAATTTTTCTTTCCATTTAATGTTAAGTACAATCTACATTCTAATTAATACCGTTGCTAGTTGAAAATTGTTTAAGAATCTCACGTCGGTTCAAATAAATAAGGTCATACGTATTTGAATTTTAAGTTCAATTTGACTTTAACACGCCTGCAATCCAAAAATACATAAAGCATTCTGCTGAAGCTCCGATGGGAGCAACTCTTCTGAGGCACAGGCTAACCAATTTCAGCAAATTTTGGGGGTAGAACGGGTCTATCAACATGATAAATATTTGGGCCTTCCTACCGTGGTGGGTAAATCAAAAAGAGAAGTTTTTAGCAATTTTAAGGAAAGAGTGTGGAATAAAATGCAAGGGTGGAGTGAACAATTGTTATCTAGAGCAGGGAAGGAGGTCTTGATTAAGTCGGTAATGCAAGCCATCCCCACATATGCTATGGGTTGTTTTAAATTTCTGAATAACTTTTGTGAGGAATTAGAGACACTAGCAGCAAGATTTTGGTGGGGACAAAGGCAAGGGGAAAGGAAAATACATTGGGTTAGCTGGAGAAAGATGTGTACAAGAAAGGATAAGGGTGGGATGGGCTTTAGAGATTTTAAGGCTTTTAATTTGGCAATGTTGGCAAAACAGGCTTGGAGAATAAATACAGAGGTTAATTCACTTATTCATCAAGTGCTTAAGGCAAGGTATTTCCCTTCGACATTTTTTATGGAGGCAGAGTTGGGCATAGACCTTCTTATACCTGGAGAAGTATTTTAGGAGCAAGGAAAGTTGTGGAGGCAGGTTCAAGATGGCAAATAGGGGATGGTTCCAAAGTTAATATATGGTCAGATAGATGGATACCCACCCCTGTAAGTTTTAAGCCAGTATCTTCTACAAGGGGTCTTCATACTCCAACTAAGGTTGGGGATCTTATTAACGAGGAAACGCGGAGATGGAATGATCAACTGGTGGACGAAATTTTCACGCCTCATGAGGCGTTTGTGATCAAAGGCATTCCACTTAGCATATCTCCAATGGAGGATAGACTGATCTGGCACTATAATTCAAATGGGAGGTTTTTGGTTCGGAGCGCATATCATATTATTATGGATCAAAGGCTACTGCAGGCAGGCCCAGCAAATTCATCTCCTCATCTAACGTTGGACAACTGAACTGGAATTTTATTTGGAATCAGAAAATTCTAAATAAAATTAAATTTTTTGCTTGGCGGGTCTGCTCTAACGTATTACCAATTGGTGACAATCTCCAGAGAAGGAGAATTGAGGTGAGTGGGAGGTGTGCAGTGTGTCAAGACGAAGCTGAGTCATTATTACATTGTTTAAGGGATTGCACTTGGGCCAAGGCAGTACGGGACTGCAGTTCTTTAAAGGTAGTTAGCCTACTTAAATCCTCTGACCCTGGGCAGTGGATGCGTGAAGCTCATCAGGCCCTTCGATCTGATGAGTTTTCATTGTTCCTTATTCAGTGTTGGTTTGTGTGGAGAAACAGAAATACTAGAATCTTCGAAATTTTGATTCAAGATCCCATTGAAGTGCAGATGAAGGCAGCTGAATTTTGTAGTCAATTTTGGAAGGCAGCAGTTCAGCCTCTAGCCGAGCATATTCCCAACGTTGGGTGGCTTTCTCCAAGAGCAGGTACGTTCAAAGTAAAATTTGATGCCGCAGTATATGCAGATCAGAATGTCTTAAGAGTGGGGGTAGTCATACGTAATGATAGGGGGTACTTCGTAGGGGCATTGTCCAAGAGGGTTACTATGAGTTGTGATATTCGACAAGCAGAATCTATTGCAGCGAAAATTACAATATAATTTGCAAGGCAGCAAGAATTAGTAGAAGTCATTTTGGAAGGGGATTCGATAAGTGTTATGAATTCTATAAGGAATGGTGATAGAGATCTTGATCCTCTCAAAGCCATTTTCCAAGATATTAGCAACATAGCAAGGAGTTTCCGATTTTTTGAAGTTTCCGAAATTCGACGCAATGAGAATAATGTAACTAATGAATTAGCTCATTTTATTTTACCATTAAATAGTAGAGTTGTTGGGATGGAACAGGCATCAGACTTTGTTTTGCCTTTCCTTTTTGCTGACATTCCTGAATAATATAATTTTAACGATGTTTCTCAAAAAAAAAAAAAATGGAGTTCATGACTAATGATATTTTAAAAATGTCATTAGCAATGACGTTTTCATTTATTGTTTGGTGTTTACATTTTTTTTCCTTTTGTTGTTGCTTGAACAAAGTCATTTGGATGACGTTTTAACAAATTACTTAGATTTGAGAATTAAGTTTGACGATCTGGGGCTGGTAAAAGTAAGTACTTTAAAAGCTGGAGTTTAGTTAGAAAAAACTCCATTTTAAAGGGGCCTCTTCCTGACCTAATATGTTGTGAGCTCAAATTGTCAGCATGCTTGAAGATTGTAATCACACGCCCACCATTATTGTATAGATCATTTTCGGAATTAAGTTTTTGCAATTGTAGATTATCTGATATTCTATTTTATATCAACAAAAAATGATCCTCATACCCCCCAAAAAAAAAAAAACAACTTACTTTGAAGGCATAATAAGAACGCCACCTATAATGAACACGACAAATATTTTGTAGGGGATCCGAGGACCAAATTAATCTACATGGGTCGATGGTGTTTTTTACTTTTGTTTCTGAAATTCTTTTTTTTTTTTTTTCCAAATCTTTTGTAGCTTAGTAACCTCAAAGTACCTATACTTCAAAGATACAATACTCAATATCAATCGATGTGAAGCTTCAACTTTGGCCCGCACCATATGCAAAGGAACTCCTTAGCTACTCCTTGAGCAATAGTGAACACCATTCAACCAAAAATTGATTCAGGAATGGTCGCATCCCAAAACCTGCAAGGAATGAGTTCTCATATAGCATGATTAAACAAGTGCAATCAAAAAAATTATAATATCACCCCTCACCCCATTTCCATTAAAAGGTTCTGTAAATACAACAGGCTGTTCCGTTTAAAAGACCGGAATCCAGCTCTTTCCTATGCACCAGTTAATCTAAGAAGCTATAGCACCTACACACAATAGTGTGGCTATTACAGATCAATTGAAAAGCACGCAGCAAAATTGATAAGCCAAACCCACAGCAAAGAGGGAGAAGATAGATCCTATGCAACTTGCACAAAAATGTCGGCTTCCTTCAAGCATGCAGACCATTCCCATTGATATAGATCCCATCTAATGTCTTATTAGCATGATTATTTGCATTTCCATATCGGTATGGTTTTACTGTTCCATTACCATTGCTCATACAACTTGCCTTCGCCACACATTTCTTTAAGAGGGCATCCAATTGTCCACATGCTGCTGCTATAAACCCTGTTTTAACCACACATTATATGAAGTTAGTGAATGAATACTAGAAAAAAAAAAAAGTGAATGAATACTAGCAATCAAAAATTCAAATTAGGTTAGGACAGGTTGGCTTCTTGCATTCGAAATCCAAGGAAAAATCTCACATTAAAAGAATATATGCAAGTTTAGGCCGTTACACCATTGGCTACAGAGAAACTTCAGATATCTGGATGCTAATACTTGTATGTGAGAAAACTCAAAACACCTTTGACACAATCAAAATTTTTAAATTTCTACTCTCCTAATTTGACATTCCATAAGTCCCTATATACAGTTTTAGTTATGTTTATCTTGAATTTTTATATTCTTAAGAGTTCTCTTCAAATTTCCAATTTATGACAAAATCCATATTTTGCTTTCATCAATCAGTCTAATCCTGTATATGTCTAGTTCATATTTATCCCTAGTTTTCTTTCCCTTTAGTGAATTTATATTTACTTTTCTCTCTATCCTTTGTATTCAACTTAGAATAAAGATCAATGTATGCATTACACCTGGCTTACCTTAACGCTTTATTTGCAAGCTTATATATTCTAAACTTTCTTTGTTCCTCATTTTTTTCCCATGGTTTATAATAAGGATCTTTCACAACAGTACGCAATTCATGATTCTATCAACAAGTTACTTTAACCCATGGTCCTGCTTTCAAAAAAAAACCCATGGTCCCAATACTTTTTGATTCTCCAAGAAACTCTACTGATATTTATTTCATCCATCCTAGCATTGTAGTCCGCATTACATTAATTTCATCATATAAATTTCAAGTTCTGCTACCATATTAGGATTCACCAACAAAAGGCCAAATTATTTCTATAGTGAAAAATATAATGATGGAAACCGTAACAGGGAATTTAGTAAAGAATAAGCTACAGGCTACAAACAAATACCTAAGAAAAAGTAACAAACATTTACAGCGCTACATGGTCAAGAATTTGAGATGACAAACAAGTACCTAAGAAAAGAGCAGAAGGTTTTCCCGGTCTTGATTTAAATTCAGGATGGAATTGAACACCAACAAAGTATGGATGATGGGGGAGCTCAACAATCTGCAGGCCACAATACCAATCCAAACTCAGAAGCATCAAAATGTACAAATCTTTACCGCAATTAAAATTTTACTCAAGCCATTATTCTGTGATCAAAAAAATCTACCTCCATGCGCCGACCACTTTCATCTTTACCAGTGAAAGAGAGACCAGCATTTTCAAGTTGTGCCACCATGTCAGGATTCACCTACATAAGGTAACATTATTTCTCTGGCAAAAAATACAACGCTGGAAACTATAATAGGGAATTTAGCAAGAATAAGCTACAGAATACAAACAACTGTCTCAGGAAATGTTCAACTTACCTCATATCTGTGCCGATGTCTCTCATCAATAAAGCTCCTATTGCCATAACTAACAAAATCACAATTGATCACACAGGTTAGCTAAGACCTGACAGGTTCATTCAGCATTGCAAGAGTTAATATCTTGCATACAAATCTAGGATTTCACATTAGTTAATATTCTAAAACACCGGTATGGTTCATTTTGGCATTAAAAAGTAATATCACAGCACAGCCGATTCAAAAAATAATTATTCAGAAGGCAGAATTTTTTCAATAATGTCCAATTACATACACCTACACGCATGACATATATAAGTGGCTGGAGGTGTGTGTCTTATATACAGTACTCAACACTACTTACAGTTTTGCAGACTTGCAGTCAGTGACCTGAAAATATGTCCTCCTTGATCCAAGACGCATGGTGCCTCCCATATGGGTCTTTGAACCCTAATAACATGGTGCACATGAGAGGCATCAGTGACGAAATTCAATTAGATAAGGAAAAGGTTTATTCCCCCCTAGAACTCGGTACTATAAAAAAATTAAAACCTCTGGCATGAAAACAACACAGGGATTCCTAGTATTGGGATCAAACTCAGCACTGTTTGCATCTTGAAGTCCAAGAATGGATCGTGCATATTCAATGACAGCAATTTGCATTCCTAAACATATTCCGAGGAATGGAATTCTGTTTTCACGGGCATACTTTGCAGCAATGATTTTCCCTTCCACTCCTCTGTCACCAAACCCTCCAGGAACAAGCACCGCATCTGCACCCTAAAGATACACGCTTGTCAGTGTGATGTCAGATAACCTACTCAAATATAAAAGGCGACAAGAAAACCTTGCAGAAAGTCATTTCACTCAGAAAAAGCAAGACATCTTAAAAACTCAGCTGCACAAACCTTCAACAAGTTCCAAGCAATCTTATGAGCATCAGGATTCTGCGGGAAGAAAATGTATGCCAAGTTGTGATGCAAACCCTGGAGAAACAGTTAAAAAAACTGGAATGTAATAATGACCTCCTTTGCAGTTGCATCTTCAAGGTCACTCGCTGGAACCCAATCTACAGAGAGTTTCCGGCGGCAAGCAACAGAAGCATGCAGAAGAGCCTGCACACAGCATAATGGCCGCAACATGAATATTGTCCTCTCAAACCACACCGTCTATGCAATTTTGCATAAACATTATCATAATTTCTCCTAGAATAACTGGGGATTCTTCTAAGCACAGGGACTCCACAATTATTCAACAAAAATGTACATGCCATCAACAATAGATAAATTAAACAAATACGTAGGCTAGTCAGGAAAATACACTATGAGTTGACAGATAAGCGATGAAAATAGTTACATGTTCATGAAACACATCCAATAGTATATTACAAACATCTACAAATGTGAACAGTATGTGCTACTTTTAATTTCTAAAGTTATAAAAAACTAGAAATCAGTTCTTATGTGGTCTTACATGAAAGAAACTGTCATTGTTTCCAGTTATTTCATATATCATGCACCTAGGAAAACAAGAGATGGAGGTACAACTTATCTACCTGACAGGGTTCAAAAGTTTCAAGGATGTTGCATCTAAGTAAAAAAAAAAAAAAGCAATGTCTGTCAACCCAATCCATTAATTCCTTAAACTGGCCTAGGTCATGAATCGATTACCTCTTAACATCAGAGAAGTAGAGACAATTACAAAACATGGATAAGTGCCTGTACATATATGTTGTATCAGAACCAGGTGATTAATTCCAATTGGTTGTAGGAACGATATATACAATCTTTCACCATCTAGCTTTTGTGGATGGATTTGGTACAAACACATTTACTAAAATTCTAGGCACATGTTCAATTGTTGAACAGAACAAAACAGATAAATATATGTTGGTAAGCTACTCAGACTGGTTCATCTCTTTTTTCGGGAAGTGAGCCTGGTTCATCTATAAACTCTGAAAACTTATCAAAGAATTGGATCTTGCGATCTGGCTAGCTGCTTTATCTATTTGAGATCAGGTTCCATGAGCATTGTCTAGGACAACTTCCATGAAAGCTGGGCCTCCTGTTATCCCTTATTATTTTAACTTGGATGAAAAATTAAAACCCCCTCCCCCCCCCCTCCCCAACAAAAAAAATAAAAATAAGAATTCTTTTCATATAATGCACTTTAATGGTAGCCTGGCTCCATTTTGGCCACTTTATCCTTATACATCTACATTTCACCCTGATAAATGCAGGGATAATAGGTGACACCTCTTTTTTGAACAAAATCTATTTTATAATAAATTTTCACACTATTCATTAAAAAGTTGTGTTTACAATTCTGGTCAAAATGCATATATTCTTTTAAAATCAATCACTACAATGAATGTACAGTTTCAGTAAGCCAAAAACAATTCCAAATTCGAATACCCCATTCCCTTCAATTGCAGGGACCATAAGTTCCTCTCCAACAAATCTTGAACTCAAGACTCATGGAACTTAATCTACCAAGAAAGCCAACAAGCAACAACAAAAGCTGCTAACTAAATTAAATCACCCTTAACATAGAGGCGAGCTGCACACACCAAATGGTCAACATCAGAGAAATGCACCAAAAGAGAGGACCAACATGGTGGGGGCAGACAATTAACAAATCCTATCTTCAAAGAAAAACCATGCAACACAAAACCAAACAGCGTATGGCCTAATTGTTTGGGATCTTTTGCGTTAATCCTTTTTTGATATTCTGGTTCATGTCAAGTTAGCATGTCGCATTAGGAGTTGCCAACCTAACTACCACCACCACCACCCCCATTTCAAATCCCATTGACCCCACAGCCCACCCAATCACCCCTACCAACTACAACCCCCTCACTATCTTATCCTTTTGATCATCACCACAATGGACGCACACAGTTTTGGCAAAATAAGAAATAAATCAGGCAAAGAAGAAGAATAAGGAATTGAAGTTTTCAATCCAATTTCGGATCATACTCCACCAGCGCAATCTTCTTTGCAGGCACCAATTCGACAACATATGCATTTGGTATTTTGAATTTAAGCATGCATAGGTAGTTCTATCAATTCTCTTTTCTCAACTCCCTCTCTTCTCTAGATACTCCTCTCTCTCTCTGCCAATGGGGTGATGGGGTAGGCAGCTCGAACAGCCAGGGTGAGTAACTCTNCCCCAACAAAAAAAATAAAAATAAGAATTCTTTTCATATAATGCACTTTAATGGTAGCCTGGCTCCATTTTGGCCACTTTATCCTTATACATCTACATTTCACCCTGATAAATGCAGGGATAATAGGTGACACCTCTTTTTTGAACAAAATCTATTTTATAATAAATTTTCACACTATTCATTAAAAAGTTGTGTTTACAATTCTGGTCAAAATGCATATATTCTTTTAAAATCAATCACTACAATGAATGTACAGTTTCAGTAAGCCAAAAACAATTCCAAATTCGAATACCCCATTCCCTTCAATTGCAGGGACCATAAGTTCCTCTCCAACAAATCTTGAACTCAAGACTCATGGAACTTAATCTACCAAGAAAGCCAACAAGCAACAACAAAAGCTGCTAACTAAATTAAATCACCCTTAACATAGAGGCGAGCTGCACACACCAAATGGTCAACATCAGAGAAATGCACCAAAAGAGAGGACCAACATGGTGGGGGCAGACAATTAACAAATCCTATCTTCAAAGAAAAACCATGCAACACAAAACCAAACAGCGTATGGCCTAATTGTTTGGGATCTTTTGCGTTAATCCTTTTTTGATATTCTGGTTCATGTCAAGTTAGCATGTCGCATTAGGAGTTGCCAACCTAACTACCACCACCACCACCCCCATTTCAAATCCCATTGACCCCACAGCCCACCCAATCACCCCTACCAACTACAACCCCCTCACTATCTTATCCTTTTGATCATCACCACAATGGACGCACACAGTTTTGGCAAAATAAGAAATAAATCAGGCAAAGAAGAAGAATAAGGAATTGAAGTTTTCAATCCAATTTCGGATCATACTCCACCAGCGCAATCTTCTTTGCAGGCACCAATTCGACAACATATGCATTTGGTATTTTGAATTTAAGCATGCATAGGTAGTTCTATCAATTCTCTTTTCTCAACTCCCTCTCTTCTCTAGATACTCCTCTCTCTCTCTGCCAATGGGGTGATGGGGTAGGCAGCTCGAACAGCCAGGGTGAGTAACTCTCTCTTACATAAGTGAAAATATATAACATGTACCAATAAATATAGAAATAAAATCATAAGAAACCATGGAAAACAACCAATCATGTTACTTCTGTCATTGTACATGCACTGACAGGAGGTGTTACAGAAGTTTCGAATGGGGCAATATAAAAGAGCTATGCATGAATCCGATAGCTCAATAACGTGGAGTTAGCTTAAGGTGAATTGCAAACTCAGATGCCCTGAGTTTGACTGCCGGTAATGATTCCCCGATTTATTCAATACCTGTGATTAGCGAGTGATTTCAAGTATTAAGGGTTTACTCTACAAGAGTGAGTCCAATGTGGCCCTACCTTGGAGAGAATCCTCATCAACAAAAAGTAAATAAAAAAGAAGAAGCGGGGATCAAATTTTCCAAATCGGAACTGAAACGATTTTCAATTGTTAGGGCCATATAAAATGTCCACTTTCACCTAAACCAGACAAATTTTGGAAAGAAAAAAGGACTTCTAAAAAAAATGACTGAAACTATTTTCATTTTCAATTTCATTTGCTAGAAAATGGAAAAATAAAACATTTTCATAAATCAAATGCCATATTCATAAGTCCAAAGAAGGTTCAAGTCTTCTAGTAATATTCAAGCTATAACCCTTTACATGCACTATTATATTAGGCTCTTTTGAAGGGCCACATTAAGATACTGTGTTATCTTTTTTATGTGTAAGTGCCTAAGAAATAGTGAGATTGCCTCGACTACGACTCTTCTTCCTCCTAGAATATTATGCCCTTGCAAAACCATTTACTACAGTGAACATTCAAACCTCTCAATCCATGCTCCACAAGTTCACAAACACCCTCATGGATCATCAGCGATCCCTAACCAATTCATGACAAGCCATGCAAAATTGGGCAGAAGGCATAACAAGGAAAGAGTTAACCAGTTCTGAAAAGTAAACTGCACTTCGTCATAATCAAATACAAACAAGAACCATCCAATATTTAACTGTGCTAGATATTTGCACTGGTTGGCACTGCATATGGGACATTTCAAAAATGGTTTTGAGACCAAACAAGCTTTCCAATTCGTGGAAAACAAAAGTTCAGTAATATTGCATAACAAAGACTCCAAAAGTCTTCTAATGCGGCCTTTTAATCCATTTTTCACCAAAGTTTTCAGATACAAAAATATCACAGAACATCTATGCCAAAAAGAAAAATCTTTTAAAGTTCCAGTATCAAGTGGAGAGTCAGATACATCTCAACTAGACGAAACATGAAATGTTATTTTGTCAAAGTATTTCCCTGTCACTGCCTGACCATTACCTAGAAAAGATATCCAGAAATAGATGCGGCAGCAAATAAGGGCTTTTGTACCAATTAACTCAAAGTAATTAAGATAACTTATGGCATAGAAGCTGATACTCATATTATACTAAGAAGGCAGCTATGATTCAAACCACAACCATCACTAGACGACCACAATACCAGCTAGATCCAAAGTTAATGACAGGCTATCTACTTCAAGAAACTTAAGCTCCCAAGATACTTGGAACCCATGGTGTCATAGATAGCATGTTTCATCCTGGACAAAAACAACTACACATTGGGTACAAAAAAGATAGAAATGCAGTAAGCATATATTATATTAAAATAGGAGGTTGGACTATAATTGTCCATCAAACATGTAGCTGAAAGGACAATAACAATGCTAGTGGGCTCATAGAAATAAGTTCACCTTCAGTACCGAGAGGTAAGAATCTGAGAGGCCTGTATATTTTCCAACCATAGCAATTCTGACCTGTTAATTACATGGCATAAAATTTTAACAACAATAAATGAAACAGCGAGACTACTTATTCATGAATATAATAAATGCACAAAACCTACTGGCTCATGTAACATGTCACAAAGTTCGGCCCTAGATGTCCATTCCCCCAAAGCAGGTTCCAGACCAACACTGCACACAATGAACATAAATGAAATGACTACGGCAAAACATGAAGCAAAATAAACAAAAAAAAAATACCAAACTAATAGTGCCAATGAAAAATCTATCTCAAAAATAATGGAACACTTGAGAACATAGTTCACCACACAAACCCGAAAAGGTTCAGCACTGTCAAGATTGCTTCATGAGCCTTCTGGTCCTAATTGAGAAGAAAGACACATATTCAAGAACTATTATAAGAAAACGTAGCTAAGATGACACTGAACTTCAAGTATATAGCAGAGCTACTTACTTGTAAAAGCAGAGGAACACGCCATATATTGGAAACATCGTAGAGAGTGATGATGTTCTCCAACTGTTTTGGGGGTCGCCGGGGGGAAGGGGGGGGCAAAAAGTTGCTTAACACAGAAGAATAATATAAATATAAAAAAATCTGTCAACGATATATATACACACATGCACACACACAGATATACTTCAGATCGGCATACCGGAACTTGGCAAAATCGGGATAGTTTGTCCTTCACATGTTCATCAAGCGCCTGAAAAACACATGTAAATATAAAAGATGAAACCTATGACAAACAGATAAATGTACTGTAAGCATGCATGTTCATATCCAAGAGAATGGGAGACAAGAGACAGACCATTGTGCTGCGGCAAGCTAAAATATTTGGTGTCAGTCCCAGGCTTCTAAGTCCCCTAACACTGTGCTGGGTGGGCTTTGTTTTCTAAGCATGTAAGAAAATCACAGTAAGCATCTGCCGGCATGTAAGTTTAGGAAATATTCAAGGAAACAGTGATACCACATCAGAGGTGAAAGGTGGTTTGAGAATCAGGGAACTATGTACCACATGTGCAAGTTGTACATCTCATATACTTTCCAACACTGTCCCATAATAAGTAGAATTTGTAGGACTGTAACATGTATAACCGGCACTTCTGGCACTGTGTCATTGAATCATGATACCATGCCCTGTCTACTGAACATAGTATATCTAATGCTCAATAGTTATGCTTCGAAATTTACCTGCTCACCAACAACATTCAGAACCGGCACAAGGCTGACATGTATCAAGCAGAAATTTCCAGCACCTGAGAAGGTTCAGCATTGATTGGAATAGTTGATGCATGAAAAAATGGGAAGTAATTAATTTGATTCCAGTTTAACAAAAAGTAAGTTGACTCATCTACGTATTATAACTCCATAAGTTATATGCCTAGTCTTACCTACTCTGTAAGAGAACTGTCCAAGAGCCTCAATAAATGGCATTGATTCAATATCCCCTGTGCATGATAAAAAAAAAAGTCTGTTTGGGAACAACCAAAGCAAGGAAATCACTCATTTTTCCATTCTTTAGAGGATTGTAGTTAATGCACCTATGGTACCACCCAATTCTATGACACAAACATCAGCAGGACCTTCTTGACCATCAACTGGTATGACTGCTACACGTTCAATCCATTCTTGAATGGCATCTGTGATGTGTGGAACAACCTGACCGAGGAAATAAGATATTAAAACAAGGACCAAATAATAAGGTACAATATAAGAGATACCATTCAGCACCAGTGGAACACCTGAACTGTTTTCCCCAGATACTCTCCCTTTCGCTCTTTATCAATGACGGACTATCAAAAGAGAATAACAGGTCATCAATTCATTTTCAAAAACCAGCCAAGCCTAGTGGTTTAGAATCTCTAGCACCAGTCATTATCAGATAAACATAAGGAGATTTCAGTCCAACCAACTTGCCTGGTAAATCTTTCCGGTGGTGATATTATTATCATGCGTCAACTTTATGTCTAGGAACCGCTCATAGTTTCCCAGATCCAAGTCCACCTTCAAGCAAAAAGCACATCATTTTTTTGTTGGTATTGCTTTACAGTGTCCAATTGTCCACCTACACCTTAGGTAAAAACTGCCAGCGTAATTTGAGATGCAAGACAAAGAACAAAGATAGAACAGGAAAGTGTGGCATACAAAAACAAGAAATGCCAATAAACGGAAGTTTTGGCCCATTTCAAGGGAAGTTCAGTTAATTAAGTGTGTTGTTCAGCACCACAAAGAATGAATAAAAAAAATAAATCAAGCTAGACATAGCAATTTTAGAATTCAGCAGTTTTCCTCACTCTTACAATCTCTTCCTAGCCTTTTGATACTCTTGATTCTTGAGCTCAATACTACCATCAACCCATAAAGTAACAAAAATAAGCTGCCTAGTAAGTAGAGGAATGAAGACTGGTCCTTTTACCTCTCCACCATCATCCAAGACAAACACCTCTCCATGCTCAAAAGGGGACATTGTTCCCGCATCAGTATTTAAGTAGGGATCTGGAAGAAAAAAGGGAAAGCACAAAATAAGCAACGCTACCTGAAAAATAATAAGAAGAAATTGTGAGCTTAGTAAAATTTTCACTTCTACTTAGGTTAATAATTTGGAAAAAAAAAAAAAGGAATGAATAAAATCTTTGAAGAAGTTCGGAACTTGAAAATAAAAAAAGATAATACGAAGGCACCAACCAAAACAAAGAAGCAGAAAAGAAAAGGGGGAAGACACTTTCCAACCAGAACTCTAACAAGGGGATACTCCAGGAGCAATATAGCAATATCAAACAAATCTGAAGTTAAATGAATTTAATTATAATTATAGCCCAAAAAATTTACAGTGAGCTTAACTATAGAAATCTGAAAAGGGAATAAATGGAGAGCAAAATTTCAGATGCACACAAACGTGGACAATCTACAAAGACAAGCATCTGATATAATGAGACACTCAACCCAGGGAAGAGAATCCTTCTCAAGAATTTCAATCATACATATATTTTTAGGAAAAACAAAACAGAACCAGAGCAAAACAAAAGTACCTGCTGCAACTAAGTTCTTTATAAAGAAGAAAGAAACGTGACACAACAGAACTCATCTTTTGCATTTGCGTGGAAAGAAAAAAGATAAAAAAAAATTGTTCTGCACAAAGGGTAGAAGGCAAAGATCACGGCAATAGTCAAACATCTGAGAAGTTTAACATGGAGATCTGCCGCATCCTTTGGATTTCAATCGAGGAAAGAGGAATGGAATGAAATAAAATATTAAAAACAAAACATAAAACAAAAAATAAAAATAGACCAGGAATGGGGAGGACATATACATAGTATTTGAAGGAGAGGTAGAGGAAGAAAAAAAAAAGAGACCAATCTTAATGGCAGTAACGCGAAGCCCACAGGCCTTGAGAATGAGGCCAATGCTACTTGCAGTCACTCCTTTGCCAAGGCCGCTAACCACTCCACCGGTCACCAACACGTACTTCATCGTGCCTTATCGTTTTTATCAACAGCAACAACAGGAATAATATAGGCCTTCCAATTCGCAGAAAAACAATCACTCAAAGCCCAAGAAGACAAAGAAGAAGAAGAAGAACCTTTTCTTCCCTATATCTTATCTACTCTGCTCAGCACAAATGAGGTGACAAGAGCCTGAGAGAGGGGGGTGCTGATATGAAAATGGGGGAAAAGAGAAGATTGTAATGTAAAACGTGAGAGGAAGGAATGAGATTTGTGTGGGCTTAACAATGGGAGGGAGGAAAGAACAATGGCGGCTGTATACACTCCTATTCCTTTGATATTTCGTTCAACAAGAAGAAGCGATTACTACGATTATATACCCGCACATATGCATATAAAATATCCTAAAACCCCCCAAAAAGGTAAAAATAAAACCCCATGCCCATCTCGCCCAACCCGACGAGCTTGCCTTCCTTTTTGTCTCCTTCCGTAGGGTAAAGTTTGATTACTACGATAAATCTCAGAGAGTCCGAAATGTTTGTCCTCTTTTTACTTTCTCGCCCTTTTCCCGTCCGTCTGTGAATTTTTTAAAATTGTCTCCCTTATCACCATTTTATATTGGCATAGCTTTCAAATTTTGAGTTCTTGAAACAATAATTTAAATTATATCTAGCTCTTTCAACTTATTCTCATACCCGTAGTCAAAGACGTGGTTTGAAGGATAGTAATTCTTTTCACAAATAGATATTACATTCATTCTTCTTAGAAAAACTAGCACACAACTTATTAAAAAAAAGTACAATTTCAATAGGAATTATATTTGATTGTTAAAAAAAAAAATAGGAATTATAATAGACTTTAACAAAGACCCGCAACATATTTCCTTAGTTGTTGAAAAAAAAAAGACTTGGCCATATCTAAATTTCTTTGCACTTAAGTGGAAAGGAATATGACATAGGTTGGTTAAATATTAGAGTTAAAAGAGGTTTTCCTTATTTCAAAAAATCAGGTTGTTTAAAGAAAAGTAAAAACTACCGATTGTAAATTGTCACTTGTGCTTTTGAAATTAAAAAATAAAAAATCTAGAAAAATCAAAATAGTATATTGGAGGCCTCTCAGAACAACTACATTGTTACAATATAAGATATATAAATTTTAATTATCATAATTCCTCAATTATTCTAGTTGTGGAAGAGTAAGGACCCACTATCTTGTGGACTTCCATAATAGAAGCCTTCAAGGAGCCTACAAGTGAGCTCATACCATCTCAATTTTATAGGCCCCAACCACATTTCCCAAGGATCCTAGAGAGTGATCCTATTCTTGTATTCACTATAGGAGCCTCCATGAATACCGGATCAAGTATAATCTAGAGGTTTATGAGTGATATGTATCAAGGCTTACTCAAAGAAAATAACCCTTTGAAGGTCTACCCAAGGCTAACGTTGAAAACCATGCCTATTCCGCTTGAGTTAGTATATTACTTCCTTTTGGAGGAGATTCATAATTCCTTATTATATGTAAGACTTAATTAGTGATCCTTTGAGTCAAACAAGTAACAATATGCTATTAGTATATGTTGGAACTAGGGAGATGAGTCACCAAGTTGTGAGCCTTATTCTTGATTGTGACAACAACTTAAAGATAGAAAGCACCCTAAAGAGGGGGGGATGAAGATGGGAATAGAATCCCTCGATCTAATGAGAGCCTCAGCCCCAACAACCCTAATGTTGACATCATTAGAGATGCCATAGGCGACTTTGAAGGTATGAACGTCATCTTCTAAGAGATAAACCATGGAAGAGAACAACAAAAGGAAGAAGAGCAAAGGCTTAGTAGGTCTCAAAAATAGCTTCAAAAAAGCAAGAATGGTGGAAATAAGAAATAAGGAAAAAGATCCATTTAAAAAGGGAAGTAGAGGTGCCAAGAAAAAGTGCTTGAGGTTGGGAGTTGTCCGGGCGAAGGTACTATTATGCTTAAATCAGTAAGGGTTCTAAAAATAAGTTAGCTAATTGAAGGGAAAGCACCCTAAATCAACCCGATCCCCAAAATATTGTTGAATGCTACTACCCCCATAACTATTCTAAAATATTTAGGACAACATTGGAGGGGGCAAGTGAAGGCACTCAGAATGACTGCGCATGATTATACCATTTAATGAAGATATGAATTACAAAAAACATGCGACAAGCACATGTTATAAGAGCACAAGGCAAGATGCATCAAAGGGTGAGTGTTGTTCCAAGAAGGGGAATCTGATGTGGATTTTTCCTCACGATTATACACATGGAGCAATAGACACTTTACCTAAAGAGAGGTGAACAGATTTTTCAACTTTAGTCCAGTTGATTACCAATTAAAAACTTAAATCACCACAATTACCTCTACTCACATAAATTGATCAATGAATAGTGAGAACCCTTTTAAATCACCATTACCCATTTTAACCATGAAGATTGATTTTAGTTAATATTCAATTAATTCACTCAACAATCAATTTTACAGCGATCCTACAAAGCCAAACCCAATTTTCACAATTATGGTTGAATAGATAATTAATCAATCAAATCAACAACACGCATAGCGTGCATGTGTGCTAACAATCACAAATCTGTATAATAAACAATAAATAACAAAAGTGATTTGTTGACACGAAAACTCTCCTCGAAAAAAATTGGCGAGAGCCTTTTCGGGTCACCAAACCCTAATTTGTTATTCTTTAAGTCAACATACAAATACTCGAGTCTTATAGCTCAATTAATACTGTGGTTAGATACTCATTTCATTGTTGTCGCCGGATGGTTCGTCTAGGCCTTGAGTAATCTTGGGCACACCAATGATCCCCTATATGCACACACCAATGAGTTTACCACCAAAAAGATATTCTTTCCCAAGTTGTGAGGTTGGGGTAGAGTCTCTAGCGGTAGCCTTTAGATTTAGAGATTTAGGATATTGTGGAAGCTCTCAAGTAGAAAAAGAATTTTCTCTCTTAGAAATTTCATAAGTGACCTAACCTAATTGTGACGTCCTGAATAAGGTTAGTCTTAATGCTACAACTTAAGAATTGTAAACCCAAGCGNGATATTGTGGAAGCTCTCAAGTAGAAAAAGAATTTTCTCTCTTAGAAATTTCATAAGCGACCTAACCTAATTGTGACGTCCTGAATAAGGTTAGTCTTAATGCTACAACTTAAGAATTGTAAACCCAAGCACAGATTGAGTGAAGTAATATATTTCTTAGAAGACCGAGTTCGAACCCTTAGAAAATTGTGAAACAGCAGCAATCACACTAATACTATAACAATCTTGTAAAAATTATTTGTTTAAAAGAATATTGAATTGAGAAAGTTAATTAAAGTAATTAAAACAATATGAAAAATACTAGGGCATCAGGTACTCCCTCTCAAATCCATACAATAATGATTAAAAACTTAATTATCAACCCTAGACAAGAATCAAATGTTGGTTGATTCAAGTCATCAAATTTAGCAATAAAATCACAAGAAATATCGTTATTTATAATCAAAGGATTATTCAGGAACCTGAATATAATCCAATTATATTATCTTGTGAAATAATGACAATCAACTTAAGCATGGAATAACCAGTTATTTGATTCACAGGGAAATTCAAGCAATCAATGTACATGACACAGACTTAAGGATTTTTATAGGGCAAAAATTTTGCTAAGAAATAAAAAGTTGAATCAACAAAATATCATATATCATTAAGATCATAAAGTTAATCACATTACCGTACTTCATTGAGAGGTCCTCCCCTAACCCTAGCTAAACTTTTTAGCCAGACATGACAAACTAAAATCAAAATAAAAAGATGGAAAAAGAATAATAACCATCTCTTCCTAGATGAGAACCCTTATTTATACTAAAATAAATTCTAAGTATAGATAGAAGATATAATGTTGGCTTGGAAGGAATTCATTTCCAAAAAAAAGTCTTGTAAGGTTAAATACTGTGCATAAAATCTTTGGGCACGCGGGTACAAAATTTGTTTAGATTTTGAGCNCTAAGTATGGATAGAAGATATAATGTTGGCTTGAAAGGAATTCATTTCCAAAAAAAAAGTCTTGTAAGGTTAAATACTGTGCATAAAATCTTTGGGCACGCGGGTACAAAATTTGTTTAGATTTTGAGGTTGAATTTTGCATATTTAGAGGTTGAATCACGAAAATTTTATGAAATACACTTTTGTAGCCTTTGGAGTCTTCTTTCTAATCCCACAAAAATCAGGTCAATCTGATATCGGAGTCAAAAGTTATGACCAAAATACTAAAAATGTGTCAAATCCTTATCTTCTAAGATGCTTTCCAAATTCAACTTTAAATGAGTTTTCTTCTAATTTGGACTCTTATAAGGATTAAATTACTGTCATATCTTCAAATCTTCCTATATCAATCTTGATTCTTCAATCCTTATCAATTGTGATTCTTTCTCTAGTGATTGATTCACTTGTCTTATCTATTATTATTTTAAATCAACCAATTTACCTACAAAATAAACCAACCAACTAGAAAAAGTATCAAACTAGAAAATCAAGGAATTTAACACATTTAATCACAAATAATATGCAATTAACCAATCATTAAATATAATAAAATAACAATTTTGATAGTTAATCACTTAATGAATAAAAACTCAAATTCATGAACGTCCGCTCGATTGGTGGGAAGGCGGTCATAGGACGATTATCGTTGGAATGCAAATAATGTTTTAATCCCGACTAAGGCATTCACTGCATGAGCAACCATGAAGGACTACTCAAGCAAGCTCTGTGTTGCCTTTCGTGGTCTTTTCCCATCTAATTTTCTAAGTCATCAACAGACCAATCTTGCCAAGGCTGGTGAGCATAGCTCAGTCCATACCAATTTTTGAAGCACAAAATTATGCAAAAACTAGTCCTGATTATAACTCATTCTATGTTTTCAAGACTCATAAATGGTTTAGAATTTTTTTTATAACACCTAGGAGTCATAGTCGGATTGTGTTTCAATTTCATTTTCATCCTTATCAATCAAAGTTGAAAATAACTTAGGGTTCATCTTAGGTGTCTAGGTCAGTACCTTGTCCTAAGCATGAATGTGCATACGGAGGTTGAATTATATTGCTTTGACGCTTGATCTCCTCCCTTAAATGACGCTTTTGGATCTTGAACTTGAAAGCATCATAGCCATGAAAAAGGTTAAGATTTACAATAGACTATGTGATCTAAAAGTATTCCCTTTGACAATTTCATGACAAAATAAACAAGTTAGAAATTAAGATTACAACCCCAAACCATTGAACAAAAATAATTGTAAATCT